AAAATTATTTACATTTTTTCCTATACATCATTTTAATTTTCTATTTAAATAGGTTAACATATTCAGATATGTTGGAAGGTAACAAATTGAAGGACCGGCCCGAGCTGCATGAACTCTAGCTATTCTGCTGTCGGGGTATGTCAGAAAGGGAAGGCGGGAGGACAATAGAGAGCACTCCTTCCACTACCACAAGGCAAGCATCAGTAGCTTACTGCTAGGGAAAGCTTAAGGGCACAGTGAGACACTCTCCGAGCTATGGCACGGGTGTGTGGGAATGGTTGGCAGGGCAACTAAAACACTGAAACAACTTTTGGAACTTCAGCATCCATGTGAAGCACAATGTGCAGCCCTGTGCTTTTGAAGAATTTTACAACTCTATTGCACTAAAAATAATGATACCAACCACAAAAATCCAAATATATCTAAAATCTTAACTTGATTTGTGATTTAATCCCCCATACCAACAGCATGCTGTCCATTTCAAACCATGAATACAATCCAAAACCATGGCACACGGGGGGAAAGGAATAAATATTCCATCATCAGGAGACAAAACAATTCAATTAGACTAAGAACTACCACAGATGTTGGCATTATCATTCAGGACTTCAAAATGATTATTAAAGTAAAAGATACATAGACAAAAGTGAATAGCACGCATGAACAAATATGGAGTTAGGGTAGAAAATGCAAACAAAAAAGAATCAAACAGAAATTTGGAATAAAAAAATATGCATCAACAATGAAGAATTCCTTTGATGCGCTCAGGAGTCGACTCAAAAGAGCCCAAGAGGGCCAGAGATTTAGCTCAGTAGTGCCACGCCTGCCTCACAAGCACAAGGTCCTGAGTTTGATCCCCAGTACCAAAAAAAAAAAGAGCCCAAGAAAGGATCAATAAACTGGAGAATTAGTCAATAAAAATTATGCACAGTGAGCCTTTTGGCTGGAATCACCATCTTCCAGTAATCTGCCAAAACGAAGAGCACAAAGAGAAAAAGAACCCAGTACATGCTCTCCAGGCCTTTTATAAAACCTGGGATTTCCTTTGGCCACATATATGGTAATCTACAACAAGGGTGATAATGTAGACATCAGGGAGTGGGTACTAGTCAGGAAGAAATGCCACACAAATGTCACCAAGGCAAAACTGGAAGAGTCTACATGTTACCCAGCATGCTGTTGGCATTGATGGAAACAAGTTACAAGCAAGATGCTTGCCAAGAGTCTCAATGTGTTTATTGAGTATAGTAAGTCTAAGACTGAACAACAGTTACTCCATCTCTGTAATAGGGCCCCAACTTTCTGCTTCTGTTACAGATCACCAGGTAGACATCAAGTTCCAGGGATGTGCTTGTTGTTGTGCCAGGAAGGTCTGTTGTGTGCATAGTGTTCTGTCATGCTTGCCCAACTCCATATCTGAATATGTTATCTTAAGGACAATCTGTAAAAGGTCTGTTTTATCTCTCTCTTCCGCTTTTGTATTTCTGCTTGCCAACTTCCCCTGAGACCCCCTATAAAAACAGCATCAGACTCTGAGCCAGTTGCCTCTCTAAGCTACTTTGCTTTGGGAGTGCCATCTGGCCAGACTAATAAAGGTCTGTTTTACTTTCCATCTGGTCTGGTGTGTTCCTTCCCGGTGTTCTTCGCTGCAGTCAGCTCCTCGGAGCATTTGGTAAGGCCCTCGGTCTTACAGTAAGCACTCTAAGAGTCAAGGCAGCTGACTGAAATGCATCAAGGAAAATGGTCAGAGAAAAATGGAAGCCAAAGAGGAAGGTACCTGGCTCCAACTAAAGCGCTATCTGCCCTGCCCAGAGAAGCGCACTTTGTGAGACCCAATGGAAGGAGCCTGAGTTGCTGGAATCTTTCCTATAGATTCGTGGCAGTAGCTCTAGTTGTTGAGCACCTAATTATTAAGTTAAGGTGTTCTAAGCCCTGTTTAAAAATAAAAATGTATCCTGAATTATAAGGATGGTTTTCTTAATTGAAGAGATGTGTGGTGCTCTTACCTCAGAGAAATGAATACTTGGAGCAGATTCTCATTTTATCTAGTTAGTTGTGTCAGGTCTTTACTGTTTGGTGTTTTTCTTGCTGAAATATGTGAGGTATTGTGCAGGTGGATAACCAAATGGGCAAATATTTATACTGGCTTGAAGATG